TTAGACCGTTGTAGCTATACCATTGTCCAATCTGTCTATAATAGTAATGGTAAACAAGTGTACGTCACTTGTTACCCTCGGCGCGCATGCGCAGCGAGGGTACTGTAGTTGGGTTTGTCTGTCTGTTACTCTCAATCTCACTTCTGGAGTGTTTGTTAGTCTCACAAACGATACGACCTACCTAACGGGCGACGAAGGTCAGAAAATAAAGGCGGTTTTCTCTGAAAACGCTCCGTTGCAGAGCTAGAGCGCTTCCACCATAGTACGGCTGGCTATAGTAGGCCATTTTTACTCCACGTAAAACGCGCATGCGCATTGTACTGCTTATATTTGGGTCCGGGTCTGTCCGTGTGTCTGTCTCTTACTCTACATCTCACCCAGAAACGATACCATCTACCCAACGGGCGACGAAGGTCAGAAAATATGTGGGGTTTTCTCTGAAACTGCTCCGTTGCAGAGCTACACCGCGAAAAATCCATTATGCAAATACACAACGGACGGGATGGCCTACCACCCTGAGAGATCCGCGTGCTCTGCGTACCTCGGAGCACCAGAAAGATGCACGCAGGGCGTGTATCGCCTCTCGCATGCTATCTAGTAGTGTAGTTAGCCCGCGTCAGACTACTGCGCGAGCTGGCACGAGTACAGCTAAAGCTAAACCCAGCCATCATTACTGGTACAGGCGCATGCGTTTACTTACGCGTTGCGCGACACATGCGCCGAGGTTTTGCACTTCAGTGCTTTCATTAACCACGGCGCGCATGCGCAGCGAGGGTTACTGTAGTTGGGGTTGTCCTGTGTGTGTGTGTGTGTCTGTTACTCAAATCTCACTTCTTCCGAGTGTTGTTTCGTCTCACAAACGATACGACCTACTCAACGGGCAACGAAGGTCAGAGAAATATGTGGGGTTTTCTCTGAAAATGCTCCGTGCAAGCTAGAGCGCGAAAAGAAAGCCAATATGCAATACCACGGGATGCTTACCGCGGTCTGATCGATCCACGTGCTCTGCGTACCTCGGAGGCACCAGAACATGCAACGCAGGGCGTGTATCGCCTCTCGTATGCTATCTAGTAGTGTAGTTAGCCCGCGAGGTGGCAAGAGACCACGAGTAACAGCTAAAACTAAACCCAGCCATCAATTAGTGGTACGGCGCATGCGTTTACTTACGCGTCGCGCGTCACAGTGCGCCGAGGGTTTGCACTTCAGTGCTTTCATTGGGTCTGTCTGTCTGTCTGTTTGTCTGTTATTCTGTATCTCACTCCTGGAACGTCTGTTCGTCTCACAAACGATATGACCTACTTAACGGGCAACGAAGGTCAGAACGATCGGACAGTTTTCTCTTAAAAAGCTTAGTTGCTAAGCTAGAGCGCTTCTGCCATTGTACGGCTAATGCTAGTCGGCCATTTTTATCTCTGCGGAAAATTCGCATGCTCGGGTCCGTTTGCTCTGTGTATCTTGAAGGCACGAGAAGTCACAACTAAGGGCGTGTATCGACTCTCGCATGCTATCTACTACTGTAGCTAGCCCGTGTCAGACTCTCTGCGAGCTACTAGCGGGAGACCATGACTAAACGCATACTAATAGCAGCCCAGCCCATCAATTAGCGGTACCGCGCATGCCCAGTTCGCCGAGGGTTTGCACTTTTAGTGCTTTTCATTTGTAAACAAACTGGGAAACATTGCAAGAGAAGATGAAAATATAAAATACACTCACCCTTATACCGTTCGCAGCATTCTTGTGTGGGCACTCAAAATGTACTTGAAGTTTAATAGCATTGTTAGTAGGTAGTAAGTTCAATCCCTCCATTACAATAACCGTAGTATGGTTGAGAAAAAGAACGGACGCTCTAGCTAGTTCCAGCACGGAGATCTGGGCTGAGAAACGACAGTTGTTAGTATCATGACTGGGAATCGATGTGTTCTGTGTGGCGCAACAGACCCTGGAGCCTCTTTTCACCGTTTCCCAGCTGAAAAAGGGCGAGAGCGAGGTGGATTGCAAATCTACAGCTAGGTGCTGACGCCATATTCTCGGCTGTGTAGCCGACACTTTCCTGGAGGAGACCCGAGGAAGGAGCCTCAGCTTAACCTGGGAAAAGATGCTCCAGGGGCTGTTGCGCGTGTAAAACCACACAGAACACATCGATTCCCAGTCATGATAGTAACTACTATCCTTTCCTCACTCACACTACGGTAACTGTAATATCGCAGTAGTAACTTAGTGGAAATGTTGAACATTGTTGAGAAACGTTATCCGAGCGGCATACTCTTCTGCAGATTTGGACGTGCCCTTGTACAACTCTCCCTCTATCATTTTTGTCTCTGCCCCTTTGGCAGAGGTGACGATAATAGAGGAGAGCCCCGTTGAGGTAGTTCCTGATGGTGAACGTTACTAAGCCAGCCACGTGTTTGCCACGTACCATCAGCAACCGTTACTGCACGTTTCTAATTCCATGACCCGAGCTCGTCTTCTTTTTTGTCTTTCATTTCCTGTTTTGCAGCCTCACAAATTTGGTCCAGCATCGACTTGACTATGGGATACATACAAACTCATACAGTAAACCCTGGCACGGATAACTTTCTATATAGGCAAAATATTTGTGCGGTGTGAATCCACTTGTGACTGACGACATTATGGGGCAGTCATCTCTGTGTATGTATGAATTGAGACTGTCCCATGATGGGCCTTCAACCTCCTCGTGGTGTCACTTGGGAGGAAGTTGCCCGCAGTTTTTTTTGTTTGCAACGCCCTGCGAATAGAACGCTAAACAAAAACGTGTGTGATGTGTGTTATTCCTCACTGCTTAACCCTCGGCGGCGCGCATGCGCAGCGAGGGTGATACTTGGTCTGTCCGTCCGTCCACGTTTTCTGCCACCACGCGCGACAAACAGGTAAAATAGCGACACCAACTGGTTCAGCGCTGCACCCGCTTCATAGTTAAAATGCTGATGTTTGTAAAAGTGACGCGTTCAGAAGTTACGGCATGAAAACCAAGTGAACAAGCCATTATGCAAATTAGAACCGGCTTACCTCCACCGGGTCCTCTTCTCTGTGTACCTTGGAGGCACAAGAAGTCACAACGAAGGGCGTTTATCGACTCCCACATGCTATTTACAACTGTAACTAGCCCGTGTCAGACTCTTCGCGAACTACTCCACGAGTAAACGCATACTAAAAAATAGCCCAGCCCATCAATTAGCGGTACCGCGCATGCGCAGTTCGCCGAGGGTTTGCACTTTCATTTTCTCTGGGAGTCGTCTTTATATATACCGTCTTTTCGCGGCCGACTAATCGGACGGACAACCACTGTGCTGCTGCCTCATCGCTCCACTCGTTAATCCTTGCCACACTGTCGAAATGGTCGAGCCGGATCAACTGGAGAGTGTACGGACCCAGCGCATAGCGACTTCCGGCGACTCGCAAATCACTCGCAATCGTGTGCGCCTGTCCAAGTAAGGCCACGCCCACTCGATGTCGCGTCAGCAAGCCAAGAAAAAGCATGCAGGGTTGGATGACCGCGAAGGCTCCGCTGTCTACGCAACCTACTGTTCCCCAAAATGTCCCCGACTTCCGTGGACTTAGACCTCCGTGGAACAGTGTCGTTGTGCTGTGAAGTCAGTCGGAACCTAGCCCTGGACCAACGCCGCCTTGGTTTGTAACAGCACCTACTTTACCCTAGTAAGTGTACATTTGCCCTAGTACGAGAAAGAGCGCCGACCTACATGCCGCTCCTGTTAGTTCGACTGAAGATCAACTGTCGTTGTGCTGGGGGGGAGCACAGTCGAACTAACCGGAATGTAGGCCGGCGCTCTTTCTCGTACTAGGGCAAATGTACCCACAGCCGACCCTACCATCTTGCCTTTTTCTTGGCTTGCTGACGCGGCATCGAGTGGGCGTGGCCTTATTTGGACAGGCGCGCACGATTGCGAGTGATTTGCGAGTCGCCGGAAGTCGCTACGCGCTGGGTCCGTACACTCCAGTTGATCCGTCGAGCCATTTCTTCGAATGGTCCTTCTCCAGAATAATAGTTCGGGAGTGATGACGGGACTAGTAGTCATTGCTTCTTGCCGACAGATCCTGCCGACTACGCCAATGTCACCGTCACAAAGGAACTAGTTTCCAACTTCTTCCTCCGTTTCTAACCACCAGAACAGCTTCATTCCGGTCAAGGTCGCCAATTCGAGTCTGCCTTACTACAGGAGGTCTGCCGAACTCTGTGTATCCACAAAACTCACTACCACCCACAGGGCGATGGTCTAGTCGAAAGGTTCAACCGAACCTTGCTCAGTATGCTCGCTACGTCTGCCAAGGACAATCCGGCCACATGGGAAACACACCTGCCAAAGCTCTGCCTGGCATACAACACAAGCATACAAGCATCAACTGGGTATACGCCATTCTTCCTAATGTTCGGCCACGAGGCCCGACTCCCTGTCGACATCATGTTTGGCCCATCCCCTACAGACACCATCTCTCCTAACGAATATGCAGCCAAGCTCAAGAATTCCCTACGGCAGGCCTTCCAAAGAGTTCGCACAAATCTAGCAACGACACACAATCGTCAGAAGTAGTTGTATGACCAACACATCCATGGCACTCCATTTCACGCTGACGACCTCGTATGGTTACTAAACACCGTGGTTCCACCAGGACAATCTCGCAAACTTCACTTTCCGTGGTCAGGCCCGTACAGTGTTCTACAGCAATTATCAGATTGCACCTACAGAATTCAAAGTTGTGATGGGAAGAAGCGCCTCCATATCGTTCATTTCAACCGCTTAAGCTGGATAAGTATATAGCTCTGGCTTGCCCCTGTGTTGTTAATCCTAGTGCCCTATCCTGTAATTGGATGTTTGAGGCTGTTAGGGTGTACATGTGGGGATTGTGTTTGTGTCAGCTTTGTGGCCTGTGATAAGACTGGTGCACAAGAGTGTCAAGTCCCTAACCCAGAACAACAGAGTTTGGTAAACCCTCCCATTTGCACAGAGTGTAGCTGTAGTCTTCACTGTCCCTCCCTTTCCCTCCCTTTACACACAGGCTTGAGAAGACACTGGAGAAGACTTTGAGTTTGTTGTGTTGCGGGCCTCCCTTTCAGTTGATCTCCTGTGTGTGTAAGTTTATTTCTTGTTTTTGTGTCTTTAAGCTGGATAAGTATATAGCTCTGGCTTGCCCCTGTGTGTGTGTAGCTGGTTGTAATCCTAGTGAAAAGGAGGCCTTATCCTGTAATTGGATGTTTGAGGCATTACAAGTGTGGGGTTGTGTCAGCTTTGTGGCCTGTGATAAGACTGGTGCACAAGAGTGTAAAACTGTTAGTGGTGTGGTTATTCGTGTTCTCAGATATACTCTTCTCAAGCCTCCTTTCAGTCATTTTAAGTTGTGGTAGGCGGGCTAGGTGGTATATAAGACATTGTGCAGTTATTGTGCAGCTCTTTGTTTGTGGCCTTTTGTGTGTCCCCACACATTGTGCTCTAATGCAAAACTGGCTTAGGTTTAGCTTCATACCCACTCTTTTCGCTCATAGCTGTCATGGATAGAAAAAGAATAGCCCCTGAGCCACTGGACCTTTTATGCAAGAAGCCTTGCTATGATGCGGATGATGATATATCTTCCCCGTGCCTATATATCCACTGATGAAAGGCCCACTGAAATTACTAGTGAGTGTTTTTTTCTCAGCATGAACAGTAAAAGGCCCTTTTGTATATAACAAGGCCTCAACCTCCTATGGATACCCACATATTATACAAACAGACTGGGAATGAGGCTAGGGATGCCCCTACTTAGGGTAGAGTCTGCATGGTTGTCTATTGAATAGTTCTGTGCTCTTGCTAATAGTGCGTTGACACAGTGTATATACTTAGCTCAAATTTATGTGCCTATAGCAAGATGCCTGGTTCAATGATATCTCAATATTTAGGTCGACTTACTGCTAGTGATCGTAAGCACCGTTACTTATCGACATTCATCAAGTGGATCAAGGAAACCACGTTTTACCCTCTGTTTGGGATGACCGACATCACCGTTACTGTGAGGGTGGAGGTGGCTACCTTTGATTCGCTTAAAATCGACGATATCTGTCAAGTTTGCCAAGAAAAAGCTGCAGAGTGTGGACTAGTGGAGGCTGTGAACTCCTTTAACTGGGAGGGTATTGCGGATATTGACCTTGAGAAAATTGTAAGTCTCAATGGAGCCTTTATTTTTTTGTTTGTCTGGCATATACATATAATTATGTGACCATGCACACGAAAAGCAGGCATTTGGCTGGGAAATATTACAGCTAAATTGACCTTTCTTGAAACACCATAGAAAGTTTAATGTGCGCCGTTGACTAGGCCAAAACACAATGTTTCCGCATACTTGATCTGGTATATACACACGGATGTAAACAGTCGATGTTCACCTTGCTGATGATCGCATACGAATGGTTTTCGACGCTTTAGATACAGCCTAAAAGCTATCCATTGGTGTCGTGAAACTACGAGCAGTATATTGCTAGTCCGCATACCTCTCCGTGTTCGTCCAGGTTGCTACTACTCCACGTTACAAAGAGAAGCGATTGAGAGGGGTGCCGCTTGAGTGCTGTAGCAGCCAGCGTGTGTGTATATTACTTAGCTGCATGACTAATAAGGGGAGGAATGTTTGGAGAGACCCCTCAAAAGTCGGTAGATGGACTCACTCTAGAATGCCTCTGGCATCCCCTCAGGAAACACCAAAATTCTCAGAATTAGCCCTTTCTGACCTGTAGGTGAAAGCCAATCATTTCATGACCAAATGTCGGGTTTCCGTGTACACGGTCACATATATATACGTGTCCACACTCGTGGCTTGGAATGTTTTCTTGTGGCTACTCAGACATGCATGTAGCCACTCACATCTATCATGTAAAATACTAGAAGGCGAATGCATGGTATTTTTTGTGAGCAGGCGCGAGCCTACTACTCTTTGCCTGTTTATAGACAATGTGTGAAATGGTTTGTTTTCACGTGACACTTGGATTCGCAAGTTCACCAACCAAGGAATGCCCACTCTAGCCTCAGCCACAGGCATTGGAGAGCGCAACAAACATAGTCTCTAACTGCATGCCTTGAGTCCCTCAAGGTTTAAGCATCATTTTGCATAAAAAGAAGTGCGTAATACTTGTGCGTGTGCAGTTCGACGGTGATAAAAAAAATTGCTTTCAACCTTTATACAATTGACTTGCTTGTGCATTCACTCTGTTTATGGATTATTGGTCAATTCATTTTTCCAGGATGAGCGGCTCCTTGAAGTGGCGACAAGTGCTCAAGCCTGTAAAGTGTTTGGCTTTTACAATGGCCCATCGAAAGTTTTTCTCTGGGGGCTGGTCTCCCTTGGACGCAAGATGCTCTGTGTCAAGCACAATGCAAGGCTCTACCTGTGAGAGTTTATCTTTGTTTGTATATAGAGTTTGGGCCATTTTATTAACCCTCGGTGCACATACGCAGTGAGGGTTACAGTACTTGGTGTGTGTGTGTCTATACACTCTCTTACTTTCGTGCAGCTCTGACTACCCTAGACTCCGGGCTCTGTGTGAGAGTCGGGGTGAAGAAGAGAATTGAAATTCCCAGTGATGACACCAGGTTAGATAAATTTACACTGATTGTTATTAACCCAGGTTCAGTGCTACGCTGGCTTGATTATAAATTTGGCAATTTTCGTAAGACTGCCTTTGAAATTTATGGCGTGAAAACCAAGTGAAAAAGCTGTTGTGCAAATTAGCACAGGCTTACCTCGACCGCTCGCTCTGTGTATCTTGAAGGAACAAGAAGTCACAACGAAGGTCGTGTATCGACTGCCGCAAGCTATCTATTACTTTCGCTATATAGCCCGTTGTCAGACTCTCCGCTTGTTGCTAGTGGGAGACCACGAGTAAAAGCAAGGCTAATAGCCCAGTTCACAGAGGATTTGCACTTTAGTGCTTTTCATTAATTAACTCTTTGGGGCCCAAAGCCACTGGAGTGGCTTTTTACGTAGATAACGCTGAATACAAATGTAACGCGTTGTGTGAGTAGCGTGTACACCGCTTGCCTTCTCTTTCTCTGGGAGAAAGCTCTCCTTTGCAACTGACTGCCTTCCTACGACATTCTTTTTCAATATAACCAACGCTAATGCACAAATAGAACCTGCCACGCCTTCTGGTACTCAAGGGCGCTAAGCGCGTGCGGTGCGCGCAGTCCGTACGCACGAACCACGCAGACTCGCAGGATCTAAAATACTACCACTTTCTAGCCCACGCAACTGAGCTAACGCCTCCACAATGGCCAGGAGATCCAGCACTAATGCGGAAGTAGGTTTTTCCGTGGTTAAAATGAGCATTCCAGCTTTTTGTATTGCGCGTAATAATAAAGTAACACAATAATTTTGGCGAGTTAATATTTATCCTGTAGCTAAAGTTCCCCTAAACGAAAGGCCAGGGACGAGGATGATCTGAGTAGTGACGATAGGTTTGACTATAGAGTATAACAACAATTATGTGTATAACCTGACATACATTCACAAACTGATTATTTACACCTGACTATCTGATTTGTCCTATAGCTCAACTACACATAACCGAAAAGCCAGGCACGAGGATGACCGGAGTAGTGACCTGAGTAGAGCCGATAGGTGTGGCTATAGAGTAAACAACAATTTTCTGTATGGGTGTAGCTTGTAGACAAACGTGCACAAACATATAATATTGAAATGCCCACATCGCTCGCCAATATGCATTGCATTTTAATGTATAAAGTTAGTTTTATTGAGGCCTTTAATTGTTTTTATAATGCAGGAGTGACCCAGGCACAGGGGATGAGCAGGAATTGAAAGTCGGTGTATTGTGTATTTCAAGTTGTGTATAAATTATCTGTGAATATTTGTACAAAACCCCAGTCATACACTGCAAACCCTTCGCCAAAACACATAGCCCAGTTTTTCACAATACCAGTAGGCAAATGCAGAGCATTGTTCGTGAGAGGGAGTGAGCTTGCAACTACATTTGCACTTACCCACCTTCCAAGCAAAGAGCTATGGACCTGTCTATACCCATGAGGCCTTCTACCTCCTCCACGTGTGTCATCTTTACACATGTGCAGTTAGATAATTTTTAATGTATAATAAAAATTTCGGACCACTACCCACTCACCAACAAAGACTATCCACCACTCATTCCTTGTGCTTGCTTTACAGGGTGCACCTGATTTGACAATCAAGCTACTAAAAGATCCCAAAGTCTATCTGATGATTGGAGAGGTAAGGCATGATTCAAACCCACTCACACAAAAAGGCACCCACATGGGCATGCTTGCACTTTCCTATAGTTGAAGAAGAAGGTGACGACAATGGAAAAAATGAGACTGAAGGGTGTGTGGAGGGGTGGGTCAAAAACGAAGCTGGAAGAAGTATATAGAAGTGTGCAACACCCAAATAGGACAATTGCTGTTTTATTTGGTGACATTACAACTAAAGCGGTTGCAGCTCTACCTGGACCCAACCGAGCGCGAGAAAGACCACGGGCAACCAACAACAGCTCTTGGTGTATATATGGAAGGGGACAAGGTATATTAAAATGCACTCTTGAGTGCAAGGAGGCCTCTGTAGAGTGCAACTTTTAAACAGTTTTGGGACTCCTTATCAGATGAGTCTCTTGGTATACATAAGTGTGTGCCAACCTTGCTGGGAGTGGGAGTGAATGGCCCTCCTTGGCAGACCTTAAAACATTTTCAATACAGGTTGTTAAGCAAGCGAAGCGAGCCGGCCTACCATGTGATTATCCCGTCAATTGTCCATCTGTTCAAATCCATTGTGGTGGTTTGTTCATTCGTCTGGTGCAAGCAAAACCTGAAATTATGGTATTTCTCACATAAAAAATCTGACTAGCCTAAACTGCCCTTGTGACTTTTCCATGCAGACAACACATGTTGTGGCAAGACAAATATCGGAGAGTGGGAGATCCTCCTGAATATCACCAATGAGTTTGAATTCTGTGGGAAAGGCCTCGGAGAGACGGTGAAGATTGTCCACCATTTCATGAGCATGAGGTCCACATGAAACTTTGATCATTCTTTACATTATACACACACATCAATGAGATTTTTTAAATCTACATGACATGTCAATAGAAATGAGGTCCATTCGGTTTGGTTGGCTATACAAAAAGGAGATTAAAATACGTATAGTGCAACTGGCCTTCATTATTGTGAGCTGGTGCCTTCAGCTGACAGAACCTGGCCAGGGGAAAGCAGGATAACTTTAGTGACTGAGCTTAAGTATTCCATAAATGCTGCACCAGTTTCACACTAATTACAGTAAGGTATGTATATGCATACAAGGTGCTTGAGACCACTTGCAAATCAGGAACTTACTGTGGCTTCTTGTTAGCAAACTCCCTCCCCTGTTCCACTTAACTTCACCCACAGCACAACCACCTAATAGTATAATATAGTTATACAACAATCCTCCAAATAAAGAACACCGCTGAATATATGAGGGACCACACTGTGGCTTCATGATTGGCCAAATTCACTTCCATGTTCCCTTCAATGTTCCCACAACCCAGCGACATGGATATAAACAATATTTGCAGTGCCTTTCTGGTTGCAAGCATGAGTTATCTGTAATTGAACCACTTGGGTGCAGCAAGAACTAAGGGATTTAATTAAGTTAACCCTTTGGGCACCATTTACATATATAATTATATATATTATTATTATATGCACAGAGATTTATATATGGCTATAATACTAGGCGCTAATATGTTATACATCAATTTCTGCTTATTTAAGGAGACACCTATATATGGCGCCCAAAGGGTTAATGTAGTTCCATCGTCCGCCTTATATAGGCCTCCACCTTCAGGACCGTGAATTTCGCCTATGCCTTAAATACTGGCTGGGCTTACAGATCTTTGAGGAGGACAGGAGGTGCCCTGTCTGCCTCTTAGTTGCAGACCAGTTTGGTGATCACCATGTGGGATGTGGGGGAAAACGCAGACAGAATATTTCGGCATAACTCCCTGCAGGATGCAGTTTTATCTTGATGGGCAAAAAGAACAACAAAAAAACAAAAAAAACAATACTACGCGGCGCGCAAAGTTTAAGCCTACTATTTACTATTGAGAGTGCATGTTCTCTCATTATGATGAGGGGAAGGACTATGGATAGCATTACTAAAATTAAAAATGCAGCCATCACACACCACTTCCTTCTTCCGCAGAAAGATTAGCCTTGTTTGCTTTTGGGACCACAGCTGTCCTGTTGCATTGCTGCCACGTTGTTGCTACTTGATGCTCTGTTACTTCCTCCACAAACACCACCTGGTTATAAATTTGCCTCCCTGAATACGTGTCATTTTTCCAATAGCTATCTGAACAGTGCAAAACAGAGACCAAAGATTTTGTATATAGTATTTCATATACAGGATGTGTGCTATATATCTACCTACATGTTTGTGAAGGTTAAGTGTTGCATATGTATGGTGGGCAGTAGCTAAGGGATGGCAACATTGTCAGTAGGATGAGAAAGTCAGAATTTGGGAGCAAACTGTATTCATAATGATTATCATCATAACCTAAGAGGGGAAGGACCACCAGTGACATAGTCTGTCACACCACTTTCATCTTATCTTTTTCTGTGTGGTTTACAATTTATCTCCATTGCTTTGCTTGCAACATGTTATTGGCGAGCGGGAGCGAGCCAACCTAGTCGTTCGTTCGAGCATAAGTTTTCGGTATATATATAAATCGTACGTCGTACGTCGTGTAAGTGCGCATGCGCGACTTTGTACGCACTTCCTTATCCGAAACCATTTCCAAATTTTTACACACGCGTTATGCGCCGACCGCACTAGCCGGCTAGAGAACTCTCCTCCATTCGACGGCATGCGCTGCAACCTTCGGTGACTGGCCGAGGCTGCACCTCTTCCCAATCTTCGTGGTTCCAAGGTGTAACTTGCAAATACGCTAGGATTGCTCGTGCACATACTGCTGCATGCCAGCTGCCTGGTGGACCACGACTGACGAGTTGAAAGCGTAAGGTAAGTACCGTTCTGCTCACCTGCTCACCGTTCTGCCAATGTACAATACGTTATGTAATGGCGACAGGTAGATCTGTCTTGCTTCACGAAAGGAAAGCTGTTATGCGGCCCGAACATCGCGGGAAAATCCCAAGTTGGGTCGCCAACAATGTTCAACATTTCCACTAGTATTAATATCTCAGCAGTCCTGTTGCTAATCTGGCTCCCTGAATGTGTGTGGACAGACCAGAATCTAACTAGTTATATCCCTCTGCTGTCTGCATGGTGGTTCTCAGAGACAAACTCTCTAATGGTTCCTGACACCTACAACCAACACTAATAGATAATACAAGTGGAAAAAAATCATTTATTCAAAATGAAAGGGGATATAGGGATGGCTTGAAGCACCAAAAAAGAAGAAACAAGGGGTCATTACACAGCAAAGATGCACAAAGCTACATGACACCATCTTATAAACAATAAAACCAAAGAAAAATTATAGGGATGGTGTCATGGAGCTTTATGCATATTTGCTGCATAATGACCCCTTGTTTCTTCTTTTTTGGTGCTTCAAGCCATCCCTATATCCCCAAGAAATTATTTTTCCATTTTTCCACTATTTTTAACAGCCTATGACAACACTGCATTTTATTGTTACAGTCACTATGATGTTCATGGGTATGTGTAGATAGGGTAAACTCTAACTGTTGGCTGCTAGTGCCTGAAGCAGGGGGTAGATGCCATTATATTCACCTCATGTCAACAAGGATGTAATTAGGTTATTGCACATGGTTGTGGTTTCATGGGCAGGCTTTGGTAACCAGGCTACAACCTGGGGGGATAAACAATGAAGGCCCATTTGAGCGCCCAGCAAGCTCGCATAACACCGCGCAGACTTTGCCAAGTTGCTCCTCGTGCCAATCAACAGCAAGCTAGCCAGTTGGAAGGCTGCTCAGTGGAGCATTTCAAAGAGGTATTGATGCTGATATTTTGATGTGAATGTTAGCAAGGCGATCGTATTCGGAGATGTTCATAGGGTTCCATCACCTGCTGGTCTGTTGACATGTGCTTCACGTGAAAGGGCATTTATGTATTCGATGGTTTCCCGTTGCGCTCCCGTTCGCAAATTATGCTTTGACCCGCCTGAACTGTAATGTAATGCGCGAAAAATTGTACTGCTCGCTTCGCTTGCTTCTACTCTAGCAACTAAAGTATTGACTGCAGGGAAATGAGCCACGATCAGACCGGATGTCATGTGCAGGCGCGGCAAATGCGCGCACCCCACCCTTTTAAAACGCGTATATTGAGAGCTACGCATTCTGTTGTCAGTGGAAGCTTGACATTTTGGAAACTGACGGGCGACTTTTGACACTATTATCTTAAGTAAGGTATTTATAGATTTTGCAATGATTGTCTCTGCTGCTTTATGTTTTAGAATAACGATGTGCTTTTGTGCGAGCGGGACTTACGTCTTACACGCGAATGGCTTAATTAGTTTTTGGATTCTGTGAGAGTTTTGTGGGCCATCGTGAACAATTATACTGTACCTAAGGAATTTCGAGCATAACTGTTTGCACTGGTCTGATCGCAGTTGTAAAATTTAAAATTTAGAAAACAGAGGCCTTGCTAATGGGTGTTAGCTATGTATATAATGAGACAAAATGATCACCTGTGGCTAAGTTGTGGCAGTAGGTGGCTGTCCTCAAATATGTTTGCACCTACGTGAGCTGTTGCTAGGAGCTAAGCACAAGGATGTAGTTATTTCACACTAGTGCTAACTTCCTTGTTTGCTGCTGAGGTTTTATTGATAGCAGATGGGGAAATCCATGTAGCTAGACAGCATAATGTACAGATTTCGTACTGGTGTGTTCAGACATTTTGGAGAGCCATGCAAAATTTTAACTAGATAAAGAAGTTGCACATTGGGCCACTCAGCAATAGCACTGCATCCTGCTCGAATCTCCTTAGGGACAGTCTAATTCTTCAGGATGGCCCACAAAACTTTCAGCAACAACACTGCATCCTTTATAAAATAATCCATAGTCTCTATCGAGAGGCACTTTGGTCCCTGTGCAAGCTTCAAATTTTGCGATCGACGTGTGACCTCATCAATGATCGTGTTTACTTTTAACCATTTTTTACCTGGCTACCTTTTCACAAAGCTCATGACACAACCACTGACATGCTTTCAGAGTCTCATCATCCTTTAGCCTCATATTTCCTAATGAGAGCGATGAAATCTGAAAAACATACTGCATGTTCTCATGTGATTCTTGGCACTTGCTACGAGCAGATCGGCAGAGCAAATTTTAAAATGTCCTTAGTTAAGTGTGCATGGATCCCATAGCACATTTTCCAGACGTGGGCAAACAAGTTATAGATAAAGCCGTAAGACAATTGCAGTAGCTATACAAGACCTTGCAAGGACAAACAACAGCCAGCAAGTGTGAGACAAAACTGTCTTTATGTCGTAAGAGAGGAAGGACTATGTATGGTGTTGCTAAGAATAAAAATGCAGTCCATCACGCCCCTTCCTTCTTCCTTCTCATTTGCAGAAAGATTAGCCTTTTTGCTTTTAGGATCACAGCTCTCCTGTTACATCGCTGCCACTTTTTGCTACTTGTTGCTGTTACCACCTCCAAAAAAACACTTAGAGGTGTTCCTATCGAACCTCAGCAGCAAACAAGGAAGTTGGCCTCCAATTACACAGGGGTGTCGTAACAGACTAACTTCGTCCCCTCCCCCCACGTATGTTGGTCGGAGTTGTTTTTATATAGAACCTAAGCAGCAAACAAGGAAGTTGATCTCCAATTGGAAGAACCCAGGGGTGTTCTAACAGACTAACCTCCTGTAGGTAGCTACCTCCAACCAATATCAAACATCCAAGAATAGAGAAGCTGTAATAACACTTTGTTGTAGTGTTAGGAACTGTGAACCTTAGTAATTACAGCTGAGTGGCTATTATACCAAAATATATTATACCTAACTTCCTTCACTATTCTTCAACAGATGACAACAATTACCAGATTTTCAAACAAAGGCCTCTCTGCTGCATATGCAGAATTTCGACCTGTTTATTCAAAGGATGTCTTAAACATTATTACACAATATATGGCAGAGGGCAACCCTAAGTTTGATACTGCTCTTGACGTAGCCTGTGGATCAGGACAGAGTACCTTTCTCCTCTGTGGAGCATTTCAAAGAGTTATTGGTGTGGATGTTAGCGAGACGCAAATTGAACAGGCAAAGTCTATAAAAGAAAGTGCTTGTTACACAAATGTTGAAATCGTAGTTGGAGATGCTCATAATCTTCCAGTAGAGTCATCATCTGTTGATCTGTTGACATGTGCCATGGCCTGGCACTGGCTCATCCTGAAACATTCTACACTGAGGCCAAGAGGGTCTTAAAGCCAGGGGGATGCATCGCTATCTACGGTCATGGGGTTAATGTCGAAGACAACAGCAGGGTGAAAAGAGCCTTCACAATGTTTCATGAAGATCTGTTTCAGTACGAATGTTTTGCGGAGCAAAATCTTCACGTCATGAATAATTATCAAGCTGTTCAGCTGCCATTTAGTAAAGTGAAGCGAGTCGAGTTGCCGTTTCAGCAAGAAACGAGTTTTGAGCAGCTGCTGGGGTTCTTCTCCTCCGTCTCAATGTACACGACCTACTGTGAGAAATATCCAAACAACACTCTTCTGAAACGCATGAGAGAAAGCTACAAGGCTGACAGCGAGAGGTGTGACGTGGAAAATTTTGCCCTCCCAGGATTCATGATTTTAGGACAGACTGAGTAATATTCATTTCCATTATACGACTATTATTAGAGTATTTTGTGTGGGTCTAATTGGTTTGATCTGCCAACACCTGAGTGTTTTTGAGAAAAAATGAGTATTCTGCTGCAATTGTGTAGCAAGTAATGCTCATGGCATAGGAGAATTGGTTAGGTTATAGTCAAAAAACACCTCTAGAATGTTGCGAAATGCATTTTTACGAGCTTCACAAAGTACTTGACTCTGTGGGCATGTAGTTAATGCGAACGTGCTGAACTGTTCTTAATCATAAGCACATACATGGTAAGTGAAATGTCAACAACCATTTGCTTATAGTAAGTAAGTGATGGACTTGGGAAGAGTACACTAGGTTTTCAAGCCCTATCCCTCGAACGCAGTAATCCTACGAAATTCGCCGAATTGAGAATCAAGCCAATGTAGCGCTGAACCTTTTGGTATCGCTATTTTGTTGCCTCGTTGCACATGGTGGCAGAAAATGTGGTAACTGACAGACAGACACACTAACGAACCAAGTACCGTAACCTTCGTTGCGCATGTGTGCCGAGGGTTAAAAATGCCCATATGAAATAATGTTGATATAATGTTGAACATGCCTCAACGCCCCATTTAACAATCTATGTTAGTTAGAGGTGTTCCTAGAACCTCATCACCCCTTGAGTCTTGAAGTAGTTTTGATGCCGCTCATTGGTCACCATGACAGAACCTTCCGTGTGCATGTGTACTTAAAACACTTAGGACGCCATGGGTAAGCAGAAATTGAGGTATAAAGTATTAGCACCTAGTATTATGACCCCATATCCATTTTTTATGGACTTATGGAGGCTCTGGGCACATTTATGTGTCCGTAGCTTGTTAAGTGTTAAGGTGGTGTCAAACCCGACATACGCTGAGCAGGAGGTAATTATGGCTGGTTAAGTGTTAAGGTGGTGGCATCTACATGTACGTATGTTCTAAATACGTGTACTGCAGGAAATACTTTATGCGTGTGAGGGGCGGGGCCGTGTGAAGTGTTTTGTTCATCTCTGTCTTGCAGTCGCCTACTAGTAATCACAAGTGGGTACTAGATCAGAGATGTGACAAGTTGGTCACGTATATAGAGTGAGACAGTGACACAACACATGCAAGTATAGACATCACCTACATTTATATTCACCCCCTTTTTTATGTGGTACAATTCTATGTTTGGTTTTGAGTCTAAGCTGACTTTGTTGTTTTTCTGCAGGTGATAGTTCAGATTATGATTCAGCCATCAGTGATGTCGGAGTTTTGTAGGAGTAGTTCAACACACTCCCTTGCACCCTCGCCGCTCATTTCGGCCGGAATCTGTCAACCGAGCCTCTCCTCACCTACTACTGGTCCATTCCTACCACCACCTCTGATAGCCGAGACCGAGGCGCTTTCTCTGGCCTGCAACGGCGGGAAAAACTTCGCATTCCCCTTGCCCGTTTTCCGCAGACACTCATGCGGACGGTTCCGTGAGTCCCACTGCGCAACAAGTGGCGGCGCAACAGTGGTGGTCGACGTCCCAGCATCCTCAGCTACCTCCCGGGAGTGTTGCCGGCAGTGGTAGCGGCAGTTCTGTGGCACCAGTCTCTGCAGCAGTGGGGCCGTCCCCTTGGTCAGCCCCGCCGGTGACCGTTGCTGACAAAACCCTTTCCTTCATGTATATACCCTCCTGGAACTTCTGCTGCCTACCACGTCGTCCACCCAATCTCCCCGATCCCTCCTTCGTGTCTCCCTCCCCCTCCCCTCTCTGCTCCTCCAAACAGTGTCTCTCATGAACCTTCCGCAGCATCGTCTCAGCTGCATTACCTGGACAGCGTCCCTTCCCATGATACGTAAGGAGAGAGGCAGACGTGAAGCATGAGCTAGTTTCGCCACTACTAAAGAGGGTCAGGGGCGGATCGAGTTGCCCCCCCTCGTCTGGTGTATATGACGTCATGCTGCCCTGGCCCCGCCCCAGTTACTACAATAGCCCTTTTCACGTTAAGGACTGAGGAATTCATTAGCTCATAATTGAACGTGACGCAACTCCCGGGGTACATCCCTCCGCCATTTTGTTCACGTTTTCTATGCAGGTCTATGGAGATGATGTCACTTTTCCAAGCGCCGTAGTTAGCTTACTGTACGCGATGTTCCATTTATACGGTATTAAAAAAAACTTTGAAACTTGTGCTATTGAATGGTCCATATTGCGTGTGCTAGGGTTGTACGACTTGGGAGATACGCGCTCGGAAAGACGGTGGGTATAGGAGTTGCTAAGGTCTATACTGCTAGTGAAGTGGCCGTTTCTGTACCTGACTTACCGTAGCTAAGCTCTGTGAAGGCTGGGAACCTGTCTATATTACTATTGCTTGTGTTTATGGCTAGCAACTCTTACCAGTGGCTCAGGATCCCGACGTTATAGTCACCGTCTTTCCGAGCGCGTATCTCCCTAGCCATAGCAATATAGACAGTTTCCCAGCCTTCACAGAGCTTAGCTACGGTAAGTCAGGTACAGAAACGGCCACTTCACTAGCAGTATAGACCTTAGCAACTCCTATACCCACCGTCTTTCCGAGCGCGTATCTCCCAAGTCGTACAACCCTAGCACACGCAATATGGACCATTCAATAGCACAAGTTTCAAAGTTTTTTTTGAATACCGTATAAATGGAACATCGCGTACAGTAAGCTAACTACGGCGCTTGGAAAAGTGACATCATCTCCATAGACCTGCATAGAAAACGTGAACAAAATGGCGGAGGAATGTACCCCGGGAGTTGCGTCACGTTCAATTATGAGCTAATGAATTCCTCAGTCCTTTACGTGAAAAGGCTATTACTAGAATAATGTTCAACATTGTTGGCGAGCGGGAGCGAGCGACCCAACTTGGGATTTGCCCGGTTGATCGCTTAAAAAGAAGCGCGTACAAAGACGCGCATGCGCACTTACACGACGTACGACGGTCGTAGAATATAGAAAAATCGCGACGTTCGTACCACCACTAGGTTAGCTCGCTCTCCCGCTCTCCAATTATATGCACGCACACGCGCGCTCGAACTTGAGCGCTCTCGATCTCTTGTGCTGCCGCGCCAACTGCAAACAACGTTTTCCTGGATCCTTGGCTACATGACGGCACTTACTTAGCCCAGCGCCTGCTCGCACAAGGCTGCTCTCTCATCGCTAGCTCTCGCGATCGTGGCTGTCACTTAGCTATGAAACGCTCTATTGGCAATCTCAACGAATGTGGTCCGGTAAGTACCTACCAACCATCCAGCTTTTTGCTTCATAATCAAGCAACCTATCCCACCCCAAATCCCTCTTGTTTGTGCTAACCTGTGATGCATCATGCCCATACATTTTGAATGGACACACAGCATTTTCAAGCAAACATATTCCAAATCAAGCAAATTCATTTCTCAAGCAAAGGTTCATCTGCAGGTTTGTAGGCATGGAAGTACATTTCTTCCGGTATGTAGACCTATCAACAGGAAAAACGGGAATGCGTGACAGGATCTTTGCGCATGCGCAGCTGTTGCCCCCTCCCAAACAAAATCCTGGATCCGCCCCTGAGGGTGGCCACAGTATATATATCCTCGCTAGCGTCCCCCAATGATGAGTGGGATTGTGGGCAAGTATTTTCGTCGGCCCTAACTGTTGAGAGCAACAAGGAGAGGAGGGCACACACTCCTGGTGCGAAACCACGTGTGGACTATTGTTTAGTCAGACATGTGTGGAGGAAAATTTACACCAGCAAGCAATGTCGCAGTTTGAAGATGTAACCATCATCCATTCTACTACTGCATCACATACACTAGGTCATCAATGTCTTGTCTTGTTGCTAGGCCTCGGCAGATTATGTTCAAATTTTGGCCTATTTTTCTATTCTTTAATGCTCCTTTATTATGCCTATATATATTTTTTGTTTCACCCATTTTTCTTTCGATTGTGCCTATTTTTCTCAAAAAAGTGACCGATCAAAAAAGACACTGATTACAAAACCTTTCTTAATTGTAAATAGTCCTCTGAGGAAGATTCCTGCTGAGAATTGAAAGCATTGCTCAGTAGTGAGAACACTCTTTCCGCCACTGCCAAAGATGAGAACCACTATAGGTCTTGACCTCTGCCTCAGCCATTTCTGTCACATGACACAGCGAGCCCATGTGACGCAGTTATGCACATGCGCATGGGTAAATTTTCCTGAATCATTGCCCTATTTTTCCAGCACAATTCTCAATGCTCATATACCCCTATTTTCTAAAAATTATGCCAGCATAATCTGCCAAGGCCTACATGTTGCTTTTTATGGCATCCCTATATTTCATAATTTTTTAGTATACACGCATTCTGAGAACATTTTTTGACAACAGTAATAACAGCAATGGCTATCTCTATCTGAATGGGCCAGTATTACAGAGGAGTCCACTGTCACCCATTCAGCCCATGTCGAACCCGCCACCTCCTACCTGAATGGGAGGACTTGTTTCGATGTCACTGTCCTCAGGGCCAGATGGTGCAAATCGGTAGTACCGCCCAACTCTGTGCTGGCCCAGCACTGCGACCCAATTGTAGTTCATTAGCATCGCTTCGAACTTGTCGGCCACATGGCCTGCGACCTGGTGCCACATCCCTTCTCTTCTGACGCCGTCATACGTCATCACCTGATTGGCGACTTGCATTCCTGCTGCCCTTCCTATCGCCTCGACCCAGGCCCTGAATGCTACGCCAGAGTTGGCTGCAGTGGCGCCTGCATTGCCAGGCACGTTCGGACCCGGTTGAGGAAAATTGGGGGAGCCGGGCCCTGGCACTATGCCAGGCAATTGCAAGATGTTATGAGTACCTGGTCCTCCTGAAAATCGATTACTATTGCGGAGCCGTCGTCGTCGTCCTCGTCTACGAACGTGGGGGTGGGAGACGGGGTGTCCCTGTGTACCTTATCCCTCTTGGCTCGGGGTGGCTGCTCTCCATACGAGTGCCAGCTAAACAGACCAAGTCCAAAAGTTCAAAAGTTTCATATAATACCCCCAGAGGGAGGAGTACAACTCCACATGAAAAATAAATAATATACTGAGATTAGAAAGGGAAGTGTATTGCGATGGTGGAGCTGATCCTTGTTATTAATCATGGAACTGATTACGGTCATTTCCAATGGAGACAATGAGATCATCAAGGAAGTCAGGAGTAACCATGAAATGGGCACATAAAGGTGTGTTCTGTGGGACAACATAGTCACATTTGGTCACCGGACAGATCCTGTCTTCAAAGAGGGTCATAGAAGCTTGAGCGCGTTCAATGCTGAGTTTGTGCCATTCACTCCATGATCTAGAGCTGTATCCCAGAGTTTTATCCACGCCTTTTGTCTCGCGCAATCGACAGAGGATGCTGGAGAGATGGATGGTTCTCAGAAAGTGTGAGAGTTCTTTCCCGATCGTGACCGAGAATTCGCTCTTTCAAGTATCTGATTTGCACGGGTGACTGGGACAGAACCTCGTCAGTGAAATTGCTGTTATAATGAAAAGCACTAAAGTGCAAACCCTCGGCGAACTGCGCATGTGCGGTACCACTAATATCGATGGGCTGGGCTTTTTATGCCTTTACTCGCGGTATCCCTGCTAGTAGCTCGCGGAGAGTCTGGCACGGGCTAGCTACAGTAGTAAATAGCATGCGGGAGTCGATACATGCCCTTCGTTGTGACTTGTTGTGCCTTCAAGACACACAGAGCGAACGGACGCGGTCGAGGTAAGCCTATGCTAATTTACATATTGGCTTGTTCACTTGGTTTTCACGCCATAACTTTAGAACGCAGTAGTTTTACGAAAATCGCCTTTTTTAAAATCAACCCGGTGTAGCACTGAACCCGATCATGTCGCTATTTACCTGATTTCGTGCGCGCGGTGGCAGAAAACGTGGTAACAGACAGACTGACAGGCACACTTACGAGACAACTACCGAACCCTCGCTGCGCATGCGCGCCGAGGGTTAATTATAGTGTCCAACTTCTCCTCAAGGAATTTCCATTGTTTTACAATGCTCATGGACATGACGTCAGAGGCTGCAATGGGATTGAAGACCCGGGATCGGAGAGGTTGCGTTGGGTTGTCAGTGAGGACACTTTGTAGAAAAGCGAGCTTGCTACACAGTATCCGGGAGCACATTGAGGGCCAATTGAGGGCCAGCAGGGGGATGGAGTTTGAGAGGTAGCTTAAGAATCTGTTTCCCCAGTTCTGCTTGAAAGGACTCGAGTTTCGATAGGAGTGTGGAATTTAGGACCCATGATTCAGAGCCGTACATGAGGACGGGAATGATGCAGCATTCTATCAGGTTACGAGAGGATAGAGGGTTAAGCAGCCCGTGGAAGGCCCACAGCTCCCCGTGAGAGAAGAATGCGCTGCGAGATTTGTTGATCCTTTCCATTACTGATGTCTTGCTGGAGGATGAGGAATTCCACCACACACCAAAACACTTCACCAAGGTTCCACAGCAAGACATGAGCCAGCAACTGTGATACTGAGATGGTGTGTAGAAGTGTGACCAGATGGTAGGAGAGTGCACTTTTCAGGACATAGCTTTAAACCTCTCGATTGAGTGAAGGTATCCACAGTGGACACCTGTTCGCTGACATCCTCAAGGTTTGTGGCGCTGGTGCGGATGTCATATCGGCATTGGCGAAAGCTCCAAGGTGGAGGCCGTTGATACTTACACCGACATTTCTTTGTTTGAGTGTAGAAAGAAGTGGATCTATCACCAAGTTGAAAATAGTGGGAGAAAGAACCGACCCCTGACGGATGCCTCGTGAAATGTTGATTGGCTTTGA